AGACGGATGTCATCTCCGGGTACCTTGTTCAACTGTCTCTTTCTCTTGCTCTTGCTCATCCGCCCACCCACCACGCCTGTTCTGACGCCACTCGCTCTCAACCACTTCGCGAACCTTTCCTAGCTTTGCCTTGGCTCGGCCTGGAGCACAAACGTCTCGCTCCAGAGCGAAGCCACTTATACGCTCACTCCGGGGCCCGTTCCCTTCGTCCACAGAGCCCCTTGTCGTGTCATGTCATGCCATGCCATGCTATGCCATGCTATGCTATGCCATGCCGTGCCATGCTTTGCTGTGGTATCATGCCGTGCGGCGCTGTCTTACAGGCACCCTACCCTACCTTACCTCTTCCCTTACCTCACTTTTCCCAACGACGCACCTTGTCAGTATCAACCTCCCATCGTCACCCTTGCCGCTTTTCACAAGGCCAGGCCAGCCCACTTTCACACTTTACCTTCCTTTGCTTTAGACCGAGTCTTTTCTGACCCCTACCCGTCTTCCGTGTGTATCTGTCTGCTCGGCCCCCCTCGTTTGTGTCTTTCGCAATGTGATGAACCGGTCCAGACAGATCTCCTGCCCCTCCTGGACCACACCTCCACTCCATCGTGGACCTCCTCGGCCAATGCCAACCATGACATTCGCCTCTCGGCATATGCAGAACCTCTTGCTCGTGATATCCCGCGCAAAGGGGGAGAGAGAAGAGCCAGTCTCCCACCCGAGCCATCCAGTTCTGTCCCACCCCCTGCCCATGCTTTAGCCCGTGTCTGTTGCCCCTCCCCCCGTCGTCGTTGGCTGCCCCACCAGTCACCCCTCCATCACGATCCCTTCATGGTGTTTCTTCTGCACTTCCGTTTGGACCTCCACGCCCCCTCCAGGCATGTCGACTAAGGAAGAAATACCACTAAGGGCAGGGATCCCGCTTTCAACCCCTCTCTTGCCCACATACGTCCAAGGTCACTGGCATCTCCCGAAGCCAACCATCTACGGCGCTTCGCCCGTCGCCGGCCTTTCCCTCGCGCCCGTTGTCCGGTCGTTGGTACAAGCCATCACACCATGGCGGGCTCTCTCGAGCGGGGTCAGTGTCGGGAGAGGATGGGTAAAGTGCTTAGACGAATCGAGCATGACGAGTTATCCTCAGGACTCGAAAGCATGGCCGAGGAAGGGGCCCTGAAAAACTATAAAAGGCGAGAACTTGAGGTGGTTTGAATGACCTCTTCCTTCTTCCTTCCTTATCACCTTCTCAGGACATCCTACTCAAGCCATACTCGTAAAACATTACCTTCTCAACTTCCAATATCATACCCAACTTCTCTCACCAATACCTCGTTCACAACCTAGCACCCACCAGTCCAAGACCATACCTTGCCATTACCCCATACCAAACACCCCCACAACCCACCACACACCATGTCGACACACTACACCCACTCCTACTCCTACTCCATCCCCATGCCCATCTCCTCCAAGGGCCAGGACTACGACTACCACAACACCTACTCCGTCTCGCCCCCTGAAGCCGACGAGTCCGTCAGCTCTGGCACCGGTCACTCCTACAGCCAGCCCAGTGGCTACTCTGTCGCCAACTCGAGCTACGCCGGCAGCAACAGCGGCGACTTTGACACCGTTCACTCTGCCTCGGGCGTCGACTTCAACGAGTACATGCAGGATCGCTTCGCGCAGTCCTTTGACCCGATTCCTCTTGACCGCAACATTGCCATCCAGGCACAGACGTGAGCTTTTACCCCTCATCTCCTCTCAAGACGTCTAAAATGTCAAAAGGATTTAAATCTGACGCGAACCAGATCTGGAAAGCTCAATGCAAAGCACCGCGAGCTCCTCGACCTGCAGGCCAAGGCGCAGGCTCGCCTGGCAAAGACGCGTGAGCGCTTCAACGAGGGCTACCGCGACGCCCAGGACGTGCGCAACGACCTTGAGTGGACGCAGAAGAAAGTTTCGTACGTTGCCTGCCCCTTTTTCTCCAACGTCCCGAACCGATCTTTGGGAAAATTCAGATCGGCGTCAGATCTGGAGATCCGACGATTGGATTGGCACGATGGATTTTGGTAGACCGAGCAATTCCGACTGACATTTGCAATTCTTCAGGTCTCTTAAGTCCAAGGCATCACGAAAGCACACCAAGGAGTACAGCAAGGCGCGCGCGAGGTATCCTTCGCCCGACGCTTACTAGACTCCTCCATTCTGGTCCGAGCGTTCACGGCGAGCAGGCACGGATCCTGGGGTCGACTGATGTCGAACCCCGCGGCAGAGCCGCATTCCCAGCAACTCGGATCCCTGATTTTCTAGCGTGTTATTCCTTCTTTCTACTACCCTTGTCGAATGTTACATGCCATTCGCGAAAGCAAGCGATCTGCGACCCTTTTTGCAGGAACCTCGAGTGGGGATGCCACACTTGGTTCCTGATTTCTGCGACTTATTTTGACACATCGCGCTTGCGGTCATTTCCTTACAGCACGCCCCCCTTACTCGGCTGGAGGGAGGCGGGGGCGGGAGTTCAACGGTTCAAAAAGCAAGCCAAGACAGTCACGGCAGTCGACGTTCCCAGCAGAGCGGGACGACGTTGACAGGAAAACCGGGTTCGAAGGGGTCTGTGGTGTGTGTGTGTGTGAGCCTGTCGGTGCGGGTGTGCATGTGTGAGATGACGCGCAGCGGACCGCGTCCGCAACCTGCATAGCCGCCCGAACTCACGCTGCTTTTACGGCTCAACCCCTCCTTGTTTCCCTCGCCAGCCCTGTTGGGGGGCGTGGCAGCGGCTAGCTGGGCCTCCCCACACACGAATTGGAGGGGAGAGAACAGGTGCTGCAGAGCCCCTGACTTGCGCAGGGGAGAGAAAAGGCGGCACGGAGTTGGGAGGGGGGGTGGGTATCGTAGAAGGGAGGGGGTCATCATGTAGTGACCGGGCTGAAGCGGGCTGGATGGGCGTGTGCATCTTCCGAGCGGAGGGCTGGCTCTGTTTTCGTCGGAACGCGGTTATGAATTATGATTGGATGAAGGATGATATTGACGGATCAGTCTGCTAAAAAGACGCCTCCCTCCATGTATGGTGGTGGGTCAGCGAGAGCGGGTGAGTCCCCGAACCTGGGATGACAGGACCAGACGACAGAGTGACTAAGTCGAGGGGGGAAGAGGCAGTGGGCAGAGACACGGTACATCTCTGACGACTTGACTCCATTGGGCGGCCGTCGGGGTATGATAGTGCTCCTCCAGGGTATGAGTTATGTCGTGACGGTCAGGGCCTGCATGATGTGTCCGCGGACAGGGAACAGTAGTGGTCTCCTAACCGTCGCATGAGGGGTTATCGTATCAACTGGACGTTAGGGTGGACTGGGGACTGCATGGGCGGTTCTCATCGTGTTTCCTCAGACGTATCAGTAATCAAGTTCGGCGTTGTTTTCTGTTTCGGTTGAGGCAAGTCCCTTCCCTGGGCTGCTTGCTGTTGGCTGGACTGTGACATGTTGTGTCTCCATCTGCGCTTTCCCGTGGTAACATCAGATCTTGTCTCGCAGATCGTGCCCTGGTGCAGCTGGTACTGTTCATGGTTTCCTTGGACGTCTGGAAGACGGTTGGTGTCATGTGATGAGCTTGGCGCTTGTCAAGAGGCTGAATATTGATAGCACGTCTTTGTCGATCACGTGATATCGTGAGGTTGGGAAGAGTTTCTGCGTGCTCTGAGAAGATCTGTGGCACGTTTGCTTTCCCCCGGCGCTGTTTCGTCCTCCTGTGTATCGATGAAGTTGGCTCAGACTGTGACGTTCTTGACACCTCTCGCGATCCACGTTCCCTTTGAGGCGAGCCCGGCCTTCTCCTCCAGGGCTTTCCACGGGTTCTCGTTTGACCAGGCGTCGTAGTATCCATCCCACCATGGGTTTGCCGGTTCTGCCCGGTCTTCCTGTTGCTGATGCCCTCCCCGCCTGCCTTGCCCCCGTCCACCTCGGCCACCCGGTAAGCCCCACGCCGGATTTGGTCGACTTGGTAACGTCGCGTGACTGCCGCCCTCCTGTGCCAGCATCTCCTCGATTTGTGCCTGCGCTCCCGCGAGGGCAGGTGCATCACCCAGGTCCAGCGGCGCCCCTTCATCGTCGTCTTCGTCAAGGCCAATCTCGTCTTCGTTTAGCCCGTCTTGTTGTCGCTCTGCGACGGCCGTGGCGTTTGCGCCGGTCGGAGCATCAAAATCGGGAACGCCAACGACGGCATTGTCTGTCCGAGGGTTGTAGCGGCGGCGCTTGGAAGGGTGACTGCCGTCGCCACCGAAGGCAGCGAAGCCCATGGCTTGCATCATGAGGGCGTCTTCGGATTCTGGACTCGGAGGCTCGTCTGAACGAAGAGGCGGCACGACAGCGCTGCCCGAGGGTATCGCGGGGTCCATGGCGGGGGCTTTGGGCATCGGGGCCACTTGGAAAGCTGGCGCGATGGTGGAGGAAGAAGTGGCTTAGCTCAAGCGCGGCCGGGTGTGCTTTGGTCACTGCTTTGTAACCGGACTCGACTTTTAATCCCTTATCGTGCTGAGGTCCTCAATCAGCGTCGTTGCGATGCACTGTTGCCGGGGTTGGCGAGCAGAACGTTGTCGGAAAACAGTGGTCGTTTCGAGTGGGGAATCAGGAAGCTTGAGCTTGCCGGAGCTTCGACAGACGACGTCCTGAAGATCAGATCCGGCAGGTGGGGCAGCGGGTGATGCCTCATTTCTTACATGAACCGTTTAAATGTATGATGATCTACAGCGATTTGCAGTGTCGCCCTGATGAGTGGCTGAGCTTCTTCGCTGTGATTGTTATGAATGCCAAGTTGAATTTTGACAACAGTACTCAGACTCCTCGGTGCTGGACATCGTCTCTGAATGAAAGCCCACGTGTGCAGGAAGTCATGCCGTGAGGACGCTCATCTTGTTTCGAATCAACCACCGGAATAGGGCAAATGGTCTACAATGAACGCAGAGTGAAAGACACGAGAGAATGATGTAATCAAAATAGGATGTCAAGAATCCGAACGAATCGGGAAACATTTATGAAATTGTTCCACCCACTCCGACGCCGCCCGTTGGTCAGCCACGTCAACCAGCGACATTCGTAGAGATTCGTGTCCTCAGAACAAAGAACACACCTCGCAAGAAGCTGCTTCTCGAATCATGGTTGCAGAACTATCTCGAGCTCTCTGCTTTGCGAATGAATTCGCGATCAGTTGCGGCACTGTCTCGGTAGATGTCGCCAGAGCGAAGGTGTTGCTCATCCGCTGGCGGAAGACCGACGAATATTTTCTCCCCAAGGGACGCAAAGACCTGGGCGAGACCCTTGAGAAGACTGCGACGCGAGAAACATACGAGGAAACTGGGATACCCGTTCAACTTTTGCCTGTCGAGATCGAGACCATGGCTACCCTGCCCTCGTCCATGGGGAGCGACAACAACTCCAGAGCCGTCACCGAGCCCATCGCAGTCACTCAGCGAGGCAATGAAGGAATTCTGAAGATCATATTCTGGTATGTTGCTAGCGCAGATAGCACAGCCGTTCGAGATGAAGGCACTCAGGAGGGACATGAGGATTTCGACACGATCTGGGCCGGTTTTGACGAGGTTGAATCGATCCTGAGCTTTGCAGACGACCAAAGTATTGCTCGTGAGGCAATAATGACAGTTCGCCGAGGTCAGCTAGCAATCTGATAACAGTATAGCAATCATCAGGCTACACTGAGCAAAACGGGACAGCTTCCGTGGAAGCCTGTCACCACTCAGTCAAAAGAAATTTGAATTTGAAAGGAATGGCTCATTGTCGGGTCGGCTGTTGCGCACGAATGCCATCTTACGCTGCTGCCTGACTTCTAAAGGCCATCGATATGCTATTTTGCCCATCAATGCTCAGCCACTGATACTCAAACTCTAGAAAATTGAAGCTGTAGCCTTTCTATCCCACTGTCTGTACTCCCGTCAATGTTTCGGAGAACGTCCCGCCTCACAAACGCATAGGGTGTTACCAATTTTCGTCAGTACCGTTATCTGTCGAAGAAAAATTTCTTTTGTTCCTCGACGAAAAGATACAGAGCGCTCCGAGATTATGCAAGATGAGAACGTGTGCATAAATGGCGGTGCTTTTGGGAAACCAGGATGAGGCGTGCCAGCTTCCTGGAAACAGCTACTTGGTTGCACCATCACTCATTACTGAGGCCGGCCCGAGCCCGAAAAACAGTATCAATGAATGTCAGCGTCACCTATCCCAATCAATTAAGCAAGGCAAGGCACCTCCTGGTCATCGAGACTGGTAATTTAGATCAAAAATCATGAACGAGCTTTTGCAATTGGGCAAATTGACTGAGCTGTGCAGAAACTATTGACAAAGCCCCTCCCCGGCTAACGGCATCAGGACACCGATGCCACCACTTGCGAGTGCGCTATATGAGGTGGGCAACTTGCTGTCACC